ATAAACTTATGTAGATTTCTATTTGAAATCATTGTTAAGAGAATGTCGACGACACAAGCTCCAAGAAAACTTCGTGATGCAGGTCAATTGCAATATCTTTGAATGGTTCAATCATAAAAAGATGCAATCTTCCATTTAGAACTTACTGCACTCAAAGCCAGTTCAAGACTCAATGAAGAAGGTAAGACAAATCTGTTACGAATGACTGATCATTGTGAACTCGAACGTTCTTTCTTTCATGAAAATGATTTTAGAAATACAAAGCTTGTTTGAAGTGAGAAAAGAGAAAGATTTCCTTTGAGATTAGTTTCATTTTTTCCAAGAAATTTCAAGCGATGGATGAATCTGGTACGGACAAAATGAATAAAGAGCAAGTTGTGAAATTCTACATAGAAATTGGTAGTGATCGTGGTACAGATGAGCGCATAGCTAAGTATGTTCATAGAGAAATATTTGTTTCATATTCATTTCTCACAAATGATCGATTTTAGTAATATTTTTGGTATCGTGGATCAAGATAATGATGATTTACTTAATTTTAGTGAATTTGTTTTGGGTACTGGGTGATTCCATGGGACTTGTGACACGTTTACACGGACCCTCACCAAATCGCTTGAAACTTTCAGGACGCATATAATAATCAATTCTAAGACTTTTTTGCTCTTGGACGAAAGTTCTAGGACGTTTTGTTCAAGAGCTGTAGCCCCAATACTAAGTACCCTTCGGAACGGATTTTTAAAGTACCTTTTTCTTTCTAACACGCATAGTTTTGCACCACTTTGTGCTGTAGAACTTCTGACGATATATTTGGATTCCTCATGATCAGGGCTACCAGAATCACTCCTTTTCATAAGTTTTTGGATTCGTCTCAGAACCACGGGGCTCTGGAAACCCTTTTCAACCGCCGAGTATTGCAGGCTTGAAATCTCCACAACTAGAGAACTCTGGACTTCGTGGAACATCTCATTTGATAGAGCATCAAAAGATCTATCGAATCATGTGTGCGCCGTCGGACGGGAGTAAGGTTTCACCGAGATAGGGTCTCCAGAAAACTTACATGGGTTTTTGAGAAAATAAAATTTTTTTTTCGTGAAATTGGTTAAAATATATGTGAAAACACTTTGTTTTATAAATGCTGTCGTTATAGTTCGTGAAAGATTCCTTGTCTCTATCAATATTCCTTAAAGATCTCTGAAGAACTATCTTAGATCTATGCAATTTTTCACTGCTACACGTGTTAATAGGTCAGTACTGCAATGTTAATATTTTTATAATAAGAAAAGCCTGGTTTTGGAAGCATGAGAAGCGGAAAAAGACGCGGAAGAATGAGTTAAAGAGCAAATGTTTTTGAGTCTAAGCTACTGGATGTTGTACGGCAATCGATACAAATCGCCATTAGAGGATCAAATTGATGAAAATTACGAATTCCGCGAATCCCACCTGTTACAAGAGGCAGGACATCTCGTACGTACTATCGCGGCATCATCTGTAAAAGAAAGTCTTTTCACATATATTTCAACCAATTTCAAGAAAAAAAAATTTTATTTTCTCAAAAACCCATGTAAGTTTTCTGGAGACCCTATCTCGGTGAAACCTTACTCCCGTCCGACGGCTCATACATGATTCGATAGATCTTTTGATGCTCTATCAAATGAGATGTCCCACGAAGTCTAGAGTTCTCTAGTTGTGGAGATTTCGAGCCTGGAATACTGGGCGGTTGAAAAGGGTTTCCAGAGCCCCGTGGATCTTAGAGGAATCCAAAAACTTATGGAAAGGAGTGATTCTGGTAGCCCTGATCATGAGGAATCCAAATATATCGTCAGAATTTCCATAGCACAAAGTGGTGCAAAACTGTACGTGTTGGAAAGAAAAAGGTACTTTAAAAATCCGGCCCAAAGGGTACTTAGTATTTGGGCTACAGCTCTTGAACAAGACGTCCTAGGACTTTCGTCCAAGAGCAAAAAAGTCCTAGAAGTGACTATTACATAAGCCCGGAAAGTTTCAAACGATTCGGTGAATGTTGTGTTTTTTTGTCACAAGTACCATGGAAGTAGCCATATCTGTTGATACTTGGTCGATTGCTGAAAAGCAAAAGTTGAGACTAGCAAATTGGCTTGTATCCAAAAGAATATAAGTTAATTTGTTTTTCGATTGATTTAGCCTCACCCTCAAACGCACAAATCTCTACTCTTTTTTTTATCAAAAAAAACAATCTTATACATATATACGAAATTATCCGAGCCCACACACATACTGTGCACGCACTGAAATAATTGCCTTTTAGACTTGAATATCTTCACATCCTGATGAAATAAAAAAAAAGATAATTTGAGATTCTACCCAAATTTATGCACGTAACTATTCAACTATATAATGGGAAATTTCGTCCAACCTACTCAAAAACCCAATATTTTAACATTCCTTCACATAAAAAACGAAGATAATCTTCGACCTACTCAAATACCGTAAAGAAAAGAGCAAAGATCGTTCCCTTCAAAGCGACTATATAAACCAACTACATAGAAGCTACTCAATATAAAACATCCACCAAACATCAAGTAAATCCACAGCTCTTAGTCCATCGTAGGACCAACTACACAACAATACATTAAAAAAGTAAGAAGCTGAATATTCTCCATTATCTATTAGATTTACATCTCCAACACAACCATGCGACTCAATGTGATTAAGATTAGTTATTTGAGCTATTATAGCTTCGAAATGATTGGCTTGAATCATATTTGGCACAGTGCCATCTGATGAGTCCACTGAATATGGATGAAACCGGTCATGGCAGACAGTCTCACCCTTATTTACAGCCTTCGCTAGTAAGAAAATCATTAATTAGTAATTTTTACTATTCTAACTTACTCTAATATTGTATTTAGGATAGTATATAGATAGATATTATCGACTACTATCTTGATCTAGCGTTGGTCTAACTTAGTCTAATGTTCAGACACATAAAAGTAGTCAATGAATAACTTCATCAGTAACGAATTACTATTTAGTACTTTTTATCACTATAGTATATCCGAATATAGCATCTAAGGTAGTCATTCGATAGAGCTTGACGAGCTCTATCCATCCTGAAAGTTTTGTCATATGGTCCTATCAATGAGCGAATCCATACAGGTTTTAGTGAGAAATACTAGTAAAAACTAGTGTATTTAGTGATTTTTACTACTAAAGTCTATCTGAATCGGGATAAAAAGGTGTTCATTCGATAGAGCTCGTCCAGGTCTATCGATCCTGAAAGTTTCATTGCTTGGTCCCGTCAATAGGCGAATTCATTCATGTGTTACTGAATTTTCCGCATTTTTTACCTATTTTTTACTAGCTTTTTGGACTTTTTTACTATAAAGAAAGGTCTTTTGGGATAAATAAATACACCATTCGATAGAGCTCGTCGAGTTACATCTTGGTCCGATGTTGGTCCCGTTTGGTCCCGTCATCAGGCGAATCCATTCAAGAAAAACTCGAATCCGAGCCTAAGATAACCTGCGTGAAAATCATCGAAACTGCAAACGCCACCTACGAGTAGGACTAAGAACTGGCGGTGGAATCGAAAGGTGAAGATTAATTCAAAAGTTTCAGATCGTCAGCGTATAACGAATAATAGAAAAGATTCAGTAAAATTAGAATAATTAAGTATTTTGAGAATGTAGAATTGAATTTGATCGACAACTTACATTCTTATCTTCAAGATTTTCGAACAATCTATCATATTTGTATTTGCATCAACACTAACAGTACTATAAGTGGATCTTTTTCAAATGAAGCATCATTCAACGGTTAATATATATAAGAAAAATAATTTGTTAGTTGAGTTTTATAATTCATTATTAGATATTTTTATAGAAAAAATACTATAGACATGAGGTATATGTTAAAATGATTCCGAGGCGGATTTAATTCTGTCAATAAGCAATACTGCGGAATAGAATATGTTCTCTGACGTGCTCATTCACATATACATGACAATAACTCTAATGCTATCATATTTCTGTCATTCGATATATCAAAGAGATAGAGAAAATACTGATTTAGTTTGCCTTAATAGTTTTAGATACGATTACTAACATAAGAAACGTATCAAACTCTATCATTGAATATAATCGATCTTGAATGACTGAAAAAAATGCTGTTGATATATTCGCTTAGTTGGTATGTCGTATATGCTGTGCACTTTGAACGTCGAAATATGTATTATATAGGCGATAAACAAGACAATCATTGCCTGGATTATTTTGTTTCATTTGAGTATCAATGGATGGAACAATTTATTTCATATTGTTTCCGATCTTCTGTACAGAGTTCTCGTATACTTTATGCAAATTTCAATAATACAGCTGATCATCATTTTACTTTCAAAATGTTATACGAACGGAATATAACTAGCCAGGAATTACTTCAATGGTCATCGACTATTGATCTTGCAGAGCGTTATCAAATTTATATAGAAGATGCGAAAAACGTTCTTTCTTTCGAAGACGAACAATTTTTGTTTTATAACTGTTCATGGCCTTGGTTTGGACCTTTTTGTCAGTTTGCATTTGATGATCCTCATGGATCCTTCAATGTTCTTATTTCAAGTTTTTTCCTAAACAAAATACTGGCTTATGATAACTCAATGATCACATGCTATGCACATTTACAATGTGAAACATTATTAACATGCCTCGATTGGCGTGATATATGTGATGGAAAAATGGACTGTTTAGATGGAACGGATGAGTTTGACTGCTGGCCACTCGAAATGAATCAATGTAATGCTAAAGAATATCGTTGTCACAATGGTCAGTGTATACCAGAAGATTTTTTGTTGGATGATGATGTTTATTCGGATTGTCTAGATCGAAGTGATGAACCAATAAATCGCGAGTTTTCATGGTCATGTTTTCAAAATCCTTCTTTTCCTTGCGAAGAGCGTACATGTCGTCCGGGTATTGAAGAATTTTCCTGTGGAGATGGTCAATGTATTTCAGAAATGGGTAGAACTTGTTTTAATGGAAAGGGTCATCTTTTATCGAACGACTCATGTTTGGATGCAATGAGTTGTCTGATGAAAAGTGTTGATAGTTTCGATAATGAAGAGTGTAATCAAATTTGTTCAAACACGAATTGTATTTCTGATTACTGTCCAATTTTATTCGAATTTCCTGCTGAACCTGTTCTATTTGGTCATGTGCGTTTAATCTTTGAAACTGAAAAAATAATCAATAACATCTTCTTACCATCGTATGTATGCTATAATGAAGAATTATGTCAACATTTTTTACCGATCACCATTTATTTGAATGGCTCTGCTTGTCGTCACATTGATCAGTTTAATCGAGTAAATAATATAAGAGATTTCAAATCATTTATTACGTATCTCAAATCTATTTTTCGTCCGTGTGCTGTTGTTCCAATCGAAACTTATGATTGTAATCATAAAAACGCATACAAATGTATGAATTCTACAAAATGCATTTCGAAATATCGTCTTGTAGATGGTATTCAAGATTGTCCATATCACGATGATGAAAAATACAATGAAAGCTGTGAACTAGATGATAAACATCATCGTTTTCAATGTTTTAATGATGAAAAACGATGCTTGGCACGTTCGGCCGTCGGAAATGGCTACTCTGATTGTCCAGAACGTGATGACGAGGAACCAGATAATATGTTCACTAAACAACATATCTATTTTCAGACAATTTGTAATGGAAACCAAGAGCTCATTCCTGTCATGGTCGACGGACAAAATGAAACTGATGAAACCGAATGTCAATTTTGGCCATGTAATAGCACATATAATCGGTGTAATCAATTTTGGTCATGTTATAATGGAGTAGATGAAATTAATTGTAAAGATTCGATTTGTCCATCTTTTCAACATACGTGTGTTTTTTCAAATGATCATACTAAATTACAATGTTTATCCCTTAACCGAACTGGTGATGGTATTATTGATTGTCTTGGAGCGTCAGATGAACGTCAATATTGTCGAATGCTTCATCCAAATGAACAATATAAACGTTTTTATTGTTCGAATGATACGAAATGTATTGCTACATATAAGCTTTGTGACGGAATTCGAGATTGTAAGTTTGGTGATGATGAACAATTCTGCACGAATAATACAATATCGTTAGAAGTACCCTTGTGTAACCGCCCTACAATGGGAATGGAAGAAAGATTGTGCAGTATAATTGATGTAGTAATAAGAAAAAAAGTTTATTTCACAACCCAGAACATACCGATTTATCCACAAAGTTTGACTAATAATATCACTAAGCAATATTCTATTGACATTCAAAATCCCATGCTTAAAAGTAAATTAAATATTGGTAACGAAAATGATGAGAAACAGCGATGTAATCGTGGATTAGATATTCGCGTACGAATGAACGATAATGGAAACGAATCCTATGAATGTCTTTGCCCACCTAGTTACTATGGAGATACATGTCAATACCAAAATGAACGAGTTAGTGTCTCTTTTGAACTGCGTGTTGCATCGGATCGACGTACACTTTTTGTTGTCTTAATTCTACTAATTGATCATGAAGGAAAAGTTCATTCACATGATCAAATCGAATATTTACCTGTTGAACATTGTCATACAAAATTTCATGTTTATTTACTTTATTCTACACGACCAAGAGATAATACAAAGAATTATTCTGTACGCATTGATATATTCAATAAACTGACATTAAATTATCGAGCAAGTTGGATTTTTCCAGTTTTGTTTCCATTTTTACCCGTATATCCTCTGGCAATTCAACTTACTATTCCTCTTCTATCTGTTCAATCAACACAACATTGTCCATTGTCATGCATTCATGGTCAATGTTTAAAATATACAAATGCAGAAAATGCATACTTCTGTCGATGTAATCATGGGTGGTCAGGTAATCAATGTTCGATTGCTTATCAATGTAATTGCTCATCAGATTCACTCTGTATCGATCAATCCATATGTCTATGTCCTGTCACTAAATTCGGTTCATTATGCTATCTCACTCGTATTGCATGTGAAAGAAGTTTATGTTTCAATAATGGTCTATGTGTACCGAACGATGCACGTCATGAAATATCGGATGGACTTAAGTCTAGTTATAGCTGTATTTGTACTGAAAATTTTGAGGGCGATCGATGTGAGTTTCGTAAAACTCGTCTTGATATATCGTTCGGAAAAAAGATTGCTATTCCAGAATCATTGTTTATTCATTTTATTGAAACATTTAAGAATTCAAAGCACAGTCAAACAACAATAATGAAAAGAGTTTCACCGTATCAAACTGAACTTACAGTTTACACAACAACTGAATTCGAAGTCGCTTTGGCACAAATTCGAAACAGCTATTATTTGATTGTTCTTCGAGAATTATCTTCTACCCCAGAGGATATTTCGACACAAATTACTATTTCACAAAAATGTGTCTCCATTCGACAATTATTCAATACAACAATTGCCAATCAACATTTGTTACGGCGTATAAAACGTTATCACATTCCATGTCAACAGCAAAATGAACTAGTCTGTTTCCATGACGATGTTTATTTTTGTCTGTGTGATTATTCGCGATACGCTAACTGTTTTGAATTCAATTTTAACATTACATATGACTGTCATGGATTAAATCCATGTGAAAACGGAGGTCACTGTTCCCAAGATAAGCGAACATGTCCAACATCGGTCATTTGTGCTTGTGACACGTGTTTCTATGGAACACGATGTCAATTTTCAACACAAGGTTTCCATCCATCATTAGATGGAATTCTCGGCTATCAGATACGTCCAAATCTTGCTTTAAGTCAACAATCGATCGCTGTAAAAGTATCCATAGTTCTTACTATAACTATATTCATACTGGGTATAATCAATGGATTCTTGTTAATGATGACGTTTCGTAGAAAACAAACACGTAATATCGGCTGTGATTTATATCTATTTATATCATCGATAATTTCTCTGATTATGATGCATATATTTCTATTAAAAACTTGCTTTCTTATTTTAATACAAATGAACTTGATTACAAATCGTTTATTTATACTTTTACAATGTCGATCTGTTGACTTTATAATTCGTAGTTTCATAAGTATAAGTGATTGGTTACATGCTTGTATTGCCATCGAACGAATAATGGTCTTAAAAGAAGTTAGTTTTAACAAGAAAAGAAGCAAAGAAGCAGCAAAATGGATAATTGGTATTACCATTCTTGTTGTTACTTGCACAAATACTCATGAACCACTATATCGTCATCTCATAGACGACGACGACGAACAGCGAACATGGTGTGCGATTAGATTATCATCATTAGGTCAAGTGTTTGATTCGACTATCAATCTCCTTCATTTTCTTCTTCCATTTTCTATTAACGTGATCTCTGCTTTGGTTATTATTGTCATTACTGCTCGCACACGATCAAATGTCCAAAGGAAACAAACATATAAGGAACACTTGTATCAACAACTAGAAAAGCACAAACATCTTCTCGTTTCACCATGTATTCTCATAGTTTTAGCATCGCCTCGTCTTATCATCTCACTTACATCCGAATGTATGAAATCGGTTCGAGATCCATGGTTATTTTTGAGTGGCTATTTTGTTTCATTTTTTCCTTCAATAGTAACGTTTCCTGTATTTGTTTTACCTTCACAAGTATACAAAGGATACTTTTCTCAATCAATCCAATCATTACATTGTCGCTAATTAGAGAGTGGGATGATGTTGACCAAAATAAGCTACTTTTACATACGAACTCGCACTTTCAAACTCACTTAGTAGTTCAGTTTGAGGATGTGTTTGGAAAAGAGATATTCACATCCACACTCTTATCTCTTGGGATGCCTTTAGCATCAATGAGGTCTTTAATCAAGATTAAATATATGATTGTACTAGTTTCTTTTATTGTTATTTGGCTTATTTTAAAGCCTTTTTATTGCAGAAAGGAAAATGAGTATTCTCTTTCTTGTATAGAGAAGAGTCTTGTGAACATAAATTGTTTGAGTATTTGCGCCGGACTAATTGATGATAGACTAATCTCGAAACAAAATTATTAGTTTCCGTAAACTTTCAAAGCAGAATAAGCGAGATTGAAGAATATCAATCTAAAGGCTGATCAGTAAGTTTCGACCCTTCTTTGTCAATTAATGTTATCTACATGAATACATATGTAGATAGTTGACTAAAATATACACTTTCGTAGAGAATGAGAAGGGTTATCATCTGGAAAAAAATGATTGAAACTCTGTCGTAGATATGAAAAGTTCTGATCATCTCATTCATGACGAATAAGAAAAAACACGTTACATTTTTTCACTGAAGAGTCCGAAATATGCTCATTTATAAATCAATATAAATAAATCGATTTATAAATCATAAATTTTTTCGTCCGAAATTTAAGGCAGTTATAAACATTTTGTGTATTTATAAATTCACTGGTGATTTATAAATTCTCATTGGTTTATAAATTCTTCAGGATTTATAAATCTCTTTGTAGTTTATAAATCTGTTTGATTTATAAATATATCCGTGACTTATGAATAAATCCATGATTTATAAATGCAGATTTGACTTGTAAATATGCAGACAATTTTTTTATCGTGAATCGGTTTATAAATTTGGTGAACGTCTGACTCTTTCTAATTGTTACACTTGAAGTATGTTGATAAGTCATAAGTGCACGGTCAACTGATGAATTTGATAGAAAAGTATAAGGCGGAAAAGTTGAGTCCAAGCACATTTACGAGTGAAACTTGAATCGATTCTAGCCAATATCATAGGAATTTTCAGAAAGGTATGTGCCATTAGTTGAAAGTAAAAGATGATTTTAATTTTGTTTCAGATTATTATTCTTTTATTCAACAGTGTTGAGCTCGTTCGACATTTTCCTCACAGAAAGCGTATTTGAACAGTGAAAATAATTAGTGTGAGTCGAAGATTAATATAAACCAGATTGTCATCTACAATCACTAGTCGACATATCAGTAAGCATAGCAATGTAGCAAAAAGATCGTTAATGAGACATAGCATCTCTCAAAAGACCATCTACGTCATAATCATCGACATGTTCATCACATTCAGTCATCTCTTGTTCTTCATCGAAATTCGACTTGTCTGGTTGATCAAAAAGACCGGCTTCAACAAACACTGCATGAAGATCTTGATCGTCTTTGTTCATCGTTTTTTCCATACGAAGCAGATCATTATCATCCACAGATTTCATGTCAATTACATCTGATTGTGTCATTTCTTGAAGTATTTCTTGATATTCACTAGAATATAAAGTTCATTTAATCTTGTTCACCGCGAAGTATGACAGTGAAGCTGACTCACCTCATAGTTCGTTGAAATTCATCTGCTGTCGTATTAGACATGGTGGTGTCAGAAAGGTTACCGTCCGATCTGATTTCTTCACCTAAAGCATCTTCTATTATATTAATATCAACTTGAGTATCTTCCGAGTTGTGCTTGTAGAATGTATGGATTTTGGCTATTGCTTCCAATGTAAATGGGCTTAAACGATTTCTTCGTTTCGAATGCTGCCAACTGAGGATGGAAAACAGGCGTTCTGGCATAACGGAGTGTGGAGTAATTGAAAGAAAACGTAATGCGATTTGTTGTAAACAAGATCCATGAGTATGGTCGCGTATCATACACCACCAGGTTGATGGAGTATCCCCTGTTAACACATTGGTCTAATAAGGAAAACTGTGAAGAAAGACAAAAGGTATACTTACCCTTACTGTAAATCAATGAATACGGTCCAGCTTTGATTTCGTACCGTTGAAGAGCACCAATCACATTTTTTGTCACCGATGAATTGTTTCCGATGAGCTTGCTGTATTCAGCAATACAGCGATAAACGGTCGATCGACTTTCAGAAAGGAGACCAGCTCCACGATATTTAGGATGCAAATAAAAACATGTGAGATAAAAAGGATTTTGAAATTCTTTGAGACGAATTTTTGCAACCTTGCTCACATATCGGTTGAAATCGACGTAATCACATTGACTAGAAAAATCATTCGTTATGACGTAAAGATATGCAAGAACTAAATGACAGTCAGCTAGTGTTGCTCCTCGACTTTGGATCAACGTTACTGCATAAGAAAGTACTTTCATGATAGAATAAAGTTGCTCGATGTCCGTAAAGAATGTCCGATGAGAAATAATGTTCACAATCTTTGCTGGTAAGTTGTCCTTTTCGATAGACACCATCATTTGTAAGGGCGTTTTTAAAAGAAGAAAAGAACGAAGACAATCGGCGACACTTGTCCATCGCGTCACCACGATTGTATCTAATGTTTCTTTATTGCACTTAAGTCGCATTGATTCTTCCTTTAATTTGGCTTTGAATGCGTGTGAATGGTTAGAATAAGATGTGATTGTCGTAATTTTTGAAATAATTCTAAAAGCAGTTGAATGTTTGACGACATCCACTAAAAAAACGACACAGCTATCCGTATTGTATATTTGCCGCATGAATTATTAGAGCAGGAGAAGCTTACCAGCGATTAAGTTGATCGCATGAGCGAAACAACGAAAATCTAGAATATGCCGATAAGCTGGCTTTGCGATGAATAAGTTCCGCAGTTTTTCCATTACATTAGGGTTATCCGTAACAATTGCAACGATCTTTTCAGCAATATTGAATGTTGTCGACGCTCTGCGTAGAACAATTTCAAGACGTTCAAGCAGAAACTCAGCAGTATGACTATAAGCACTTAAATCAACAAGCGACAGAACAACGGCACGACGATTTTCAGTAATAACGTTGAATTCATAGAGTGATCTATGACTTTGATCTGTCCATCCATCGAGATTAAGTGTTAAATAAGACGCTTCCGTAAGAATCGAATCATTCATTTTTTCGACATAAAGAAGTTCATTCATGAGGGTTTGACGCGTCAGTTTCATCTTATCCGGTGGACAATATGATGGATTTAACTTTTGAATTAAATCTAAGAAGTAAGCACTGGTCACGACTTGAAAAGGTATGCTATTCATGATGAGTGCTTTCAATAAAGTTCGATCGATGTCGAGTTTTTCATTAGGAGAAAGGATTCGAGATCCATACTGATCCATTTTCATTTGCTTCTTCGTTGATGATGCGTCGTACAACTAAAATAAATCAAGAAAAATTTTCTTATCGGAATCTTATTGTAAGAATACTTCAACAAAGTGCAGTTAGTTTGAGATGGTTATAAAAAAGGTATAGTTTACCTGGACTAGACGCTTTGCACTCTTCGGTGATTGATTTTGTTGGTCGATTTCTGTTAGCTTTGCGATGGTATCAATGCGTGCAGTAGGATTTTGTATAACCAGCGCATCACATTGACCGGCAATGTGATTGTACATCATTGGTATTTTTGCGTAACTGAGTAATATCTTGCAATACCGACAACGAGCTTTTCTATATCCACCTGTTTTTGCTTCGCCTTCATCGATAAAATGAGACCAAATATAATTACGATTACGTCCGCATGTCTTAGGCGAAGAAGTATTGAATGAGCTTGAGGAAATACTGAGTTCCGAATTTGATGTTTCATCGCCAGTATTATCGTCAATCAGTGTAATAGGTGAAGTAGCCATTATAATAAGAGTTGCACCACTGTTTCGTGTGAAAGTATTGATTCTAAAAATCGAGTTTCGTTGGATTGTTAAGAT